AAAGTATTGTATTATAAAGTCTAAACACACTTCTGCTTCAGTGAAAATCTATATCATGATTTTGAAAAACTACAAACTGTTTTTGAACTATTTCATTTGGTCAAAAATTCCAAAATATTGTACGAGTTTAAATAAGATTGCCTAGCCCCACTTTTAGGTAACCATTTACATATCATAAGACAAACTTTTAAGCATGACTTCAAAGTTCTTACCATTTACACCAAATTCCTTTCTCCACTGAAGACTTTCGTCAATTAATTTCAAGGCATCTTCGACAACACAAAGTCTCCATTGAAGGTAGCCCTCCACTAGGGCATCATCTTTGTCAAGCCTTTCCACATCTCTGGAGTCATATTTATCCGTCGATTCTGTAAACACAACCCTAAGTGCTTAGTCACATGACGCTCGGCATACACAATGGTCAAACACAAGGTTTCACTTCCGAACATATTGAGTGTTTTATACTTTAAAATACTGCTGAAGCCATAAATGACCACATTGTGCTGTCAACTCATATAAAGTTCACCCAGAGGTCATAACGATATAAACACAGGCTGTATTACTCAAAAACAACTAACTGCATTTGGTAATAAAGAGTTAGCTAGGTTAGTTGTATATTGGAGCTTATCTAGGCTCTGAGCATTTAGGTCATGATGTTCACAAAATGAAAGTGAAGCAACAGATAGTTCACTTTTAGTAACAGTTAACATTATATTTGAAAATAACATTACCGCCACATTATTGCATTTGCAAGTGGCTGGTCAGGGAGCAAGTGTATGTCAAATGACATAAGTGAGTTACCTTGCAGGAACTCATTCTTAAATTTCTGTCTCGTCTCCTCAATTTTCTTCTCAATGTCCTGTCAAAACAGAGTCGTTTTATGTTACAGAGACACGTCTTTTGATTAGAGAGATTAACTAACGCATTACTAACGGTAGTTAACGTTACCTGCTCTCCTTCGTGTTGCTCAAGTTCGGCCATGTTCCCCTGTCACCGGGTTTCCGTCTCTGAGCTGGTTCCTTGTTAAGCTAGCTACTCAGCTAACGTTTAGTTCAGGAGAATCAGTGCAAACTGAGAAACTATCGTCCTGCCTTAGCCATTTTGGCTCCAGCATTGGCCACACCTCTCCGCTGTGTTGTTTGTTTAAAGTAAAAGAGCAGAGCGAGTATTCAACTGTACTCAGGAAAAGGGTTTATATCTAATCATTCATGCAGTCGATTCGTTTAATTATGACTAGCGCGGATAACTGTTTATCGTAAATATCGTCAACTCACTGTTGTTTATCAGTCTTACCCACAATGCACTCGGACTGACAGGAAGCGTTCGATTTGAGTTGGCGCGCCACTTCGAGTGTGCAACAGTCTCTATACAACGTTCAATACGGCTTAGTTTTTTTTCTCACAAGTACATTTAGCAACTAGTCGTCCATATGTATATATTGTTGAGGCTTCTGTCATGAGAGTGACAGCTCCAAGCTTAGCAATACCGTCAACTCAGCTTGTCAATAAGGAAAGATCGAACCAGCTCGGCATCCGAAGCTTCCCTCTTGCATAATGGAGTTATTACCCTCGGAAGATGTGTATCTAAATCCCCATCGTCTTTCCCTCTTTGGAAAGATAATCTTATTTAACTGTAAACGAGTTTCAGCCACACATGACAGCGAAAGAAGTGAGTTAATATTCTGCAGTCTTTCATTTGAACGGGAAGACAACGCGTTCCTGAAGGCAGCTGATGGAGCAGCTGTCATCAGCAGGAAGAGATCAGCGCGTGTGGATATTGTAAAATGTAAATGTGCCATAAACGTTCAGAAGAGAGTCGCCATGCCGTGCATTTTAGTGACAAAGAAAAGCGAGAGGGGTGGAAGTTTCCACTATAGTCTTCTCACACTGAGCAGCTCTAACAGACTGGAGCCCTGCATTGAGTTTAAACTCCCTTATCAGATGAACGAGAATGTGTCTATCCTCCAGGGCCCCACAGTGTTGTGGAGCCATACTGGGAATGTCTTCTTTGCATCTCTGCAGGCAGGAGAGGTGAAACAGATACCCATTGAGTTGTCCAATTGTGTTATTGGAGAACTTCCCCTCCACAAAGAACAGGTATTTGTTCTTGGACTAAAACATATTTCAGACCAATGCTCAAATACTCAGTCCACAGGACAAACCCTGGGTTATTTTGTTGAAAGTGGACATGTGTTTGATGGCTCTATGGTCTTGCCTCATCCCTATGTTTGCATCACACGGTGCATCTTGGTGCTGTCAGCTGAACAAGTGGATGATGTGCTGGAATCCACTTTGGTTGCAGCAACTTCTAATCAGCAACTTGTATATTTTGAGAATGGCATTGTGAAAGATGTGTGTCAGCTCCCCTTTGAACAAGCTGAAAACATTCAGATGGTCAACACAGGGAGAAATGGCTGCCTCTTTGTCGTATCTTTTTACCAGGGGCATGTATGTGCTATTCGCAAGGAAACATTTCAGGTAAACCAATGTTAAATATCTTTATTTTAATTCTATGTTCTACTTGACTCTCCTTCTCTAAGCCTATTTTGTAAACTCTCTCCCCCAGATAGCCTCCCACTGGTCAAGTGTCAGTTCTGTTCATGTGGATGACTTCCTGGGATGTGGAACAGACCAGATGCTGTTGGTTTTTAAGAATCAAGGCACAACAGGACAGCCTATAGAAACATATCTCCTCACTGACCTTTGTGGCATTTCATATTCTGTAAGGCTTAACATTTACTCGTCATGTGGATATTTCCATTATTAGAGAAACATTGGTTGGTGGTCTGCTAACTGATTTTAATTACACATTTCAGCGTGGTCAAGACGGTGGTGCACCAAAGACTCCGCCTCCTCCACCAGAGAACGATCTTCTCACCCTTAGAGCTTTAGAGTCCAGACTACAGGTAAGCATTCCTAATCTATTACTGGACCGACAGCACTAGTCTTTTGGAAAGGAAAACAATCCTTTTAGCATAGTCAATCATATATCCTAATGATATTATTAAATCATAATATGGTTTCTACAAAAAAATGAATTATTGATGCAAAAGCACAAATGAACAAAATGAGGTAAAGATGTGAACTCTTGTTCATATTACTAAAAATGCATCTGGCTTTATTATATATAGTCCTTTTTTTTTTTGACAGAACATTATGAGCATTCATATACAACACATCACAAAATAAACTATTTAAAATCATTTGTTGAGTGCAGTTAAGACATGCAAACCTTCTCATTCTTGTCATTCATTTTAAACTGTTAAGTCAGCTTTTCATTAAAAAGATAGCCTGGACAATCTAAGACCATTGTTCTTTCCCTGGAGGCTCAGCTTCATAGATCTCCTTTGCTGTCAATAAGCAGAATTCTGATGTCTGTTCTTTTTAGACCTTTATTCCCTAGGTACATCACGTCATGGTTGTTTGGAACATCTTATCAATAGTTTCATTCAAATTATTCCAGGCCTTAGTTTATTGCATCTCTAGAACACATAGATATGGTTGGCCATAATTCACATGTAGGTCGACATACATTTGAAATATAATTGATGTGTATATACTGAAGATGTCAGAAAAGTATTGTGTTAATACTGTAAAAAATATTGAAGTTAACCCATAACACCATACTATGCTTATAGTACATTTAGGGATGGTCAATTTTTTTATTTAACTTTCAAAAAACAAAATCTGGGGGAAAACTTTCATCTCGTAGACCCCCAATGTGTGTTTCATCTATAATATAGATCTAATATAGACTCTCAACTGTGATCTGTTTGCAGAGTGGATTGAGCGTGCTCCAGGATCTTCAAAGGGAGCTGAGAGTGAAGGACAGAGTTCTACAGCAGTCCGTCCAAGCCCTTACCGACGTGGTCTCAGAAAGAGAGACGATTCTCACCCAGCCTGAGCAGGTACAGAATATTGATATTTTCCCCTTATATTAGTGCAGTTGAAGATAGACATAAAAGGGGGACAGAGTGTGGACAACATGCAGCAAGGTGCCGCAGGTCTGATTTGATCCCACTGCTGTACTGTAAGTAAATGTGTCTCTATACCAGAAAGGTGCCCTCTCTAGCACTAAGACTAGATAACATAAAGTCTTATCACATGGTGTAAGCTGGTGTTGTTTTCAGTTGCATCTATGATAATAATATATCTGTAACACTGACATGCATTTCAAATCAGTTAGCAACTTCAATGCGAGACATTTTATAATAAATGTTTTTGGAATGTAAGAATATACAATGTATTTCCTTAAAAACTGAGATTAATATTACTGTTGGTCCCGCCCTCCTCCCCCTCAGTTCTTTAGGCTTTACTCCACCATTTGTCACTCATGTTAATACATTTTCATATTTGAAATGGCATCTCACATGAGGCTGATGTAGTAAGTGCTCCTAATCCTGCCTGAGGCATTGAGGAAGCAAATACAGGCAATAAATGCAAATGTCATTTAATGTTTTTGTTACTGTTGCTTTAATTTCCTTTTGCTGTGGTCACAAGACTTGCCACACAGATCAAATGATGAATGTGGCCTGAAGGAATTAAATAAATATGCCAGGAATAATTATACTGTATTTGACAGAGAGTATCACTGGCACACTCTTTGTTTTTGAATAGTATTGTGAAAGTCCACTAAATATGTACCTGGGCAAATTGAAATATTTAACATAAACTGCTATTGCTGTCAATGCTGTCACACACTGTCATCGCTGATTATAGTATTTGCACCTTCTGTCCAGGAAGGCCTTATTGCTCTGTGGGACTGTGACGAGTCAAAGGATGAGGCCAAGGCTGACGAGACACGAGACATAACAGCAGGGCCTTCAAAACCTCAAGTTGACAAGCTGTGGCATCGTATCACTGAGGAGCGAATGGTTGTGGGAGTGATACTAACTACTGACAGATCAATGTAAACATCATTTGTTTTGTAATTGAAATGCAATATGTTTGTCTGTGTGAAGAATGTGTAAGCTTTATGCACCGAGGCATCAGCCTTCTTAAATATTCCTTGAATATGACATTATCTAAACACTTTTCGGCAGTTCTTCTAAAAGACTACAAGTTGAGTTGATTTATTATGATAAAGATACAGGCAACAATACATGGCACTCCACTTTTAAGTCTAGTGAGAAGTGCTTATGTCTAGCTGTCAGACCACATCAATACTTCCTGATAACATTTGTTATTGCTTCTTTGATTGCTGCCAAATGTATATTTATCTAAGGCAAATGCAGGGTGGTAAACTGGTCATCAAGGCAACCTGTTATTTAATTACTCTCCAATTTCCTTTTTTGAAACTTATCAGAGTCCTCCCTCCACCTGTTCCTGTTTTTATCTGTGAACATGTGGAGGAAAGCTACTTCTGGCCTAATTGTGCCCTAATGCTCTTTGGATTGCACTTGTCCAGCTGATGGCATGTCGCCACCTGGAGATGTTGGTGTTTTTAATCAGTTCTCAAGCTGTCAGGCATTTAAAATAAAATGTGATTTCACTATGATACCCTACTGTCCATGTGATATCTGATATGTTTTATGATGTGTTATTTTTGCTCTAGACCAGCGGCCAGTGTGAGCTTATCCATCCTGACAGAGGCGGGTCAGAGCTCAACGCCTGCAGTCATCCAGACCCTTAGCCAAGTGTTCTGGCTCCCTGTGCCCCGCTCCTCATCATCATCATCATCCTCTTCCTCATCTGCCTCCACATATTCAGAGCCTGCAGCCAAAAGAAGCAAGCAGCACAAGGCAGGCAGAGCCAATGATCTCAACACATGCAGACTTGCTGTGACTGCTGTGTCCAGGCTGACACCTCTGTTGACCTCTGGCTTTGTCAAGTGCCGTGTCGTGCTCCATTACATCCAGAGACAAGATGCTTTTGCCCCTGTGTGCAACCCAAAACCGGTGGTCCTGCATTGTGGTCAAGTTGCTTTAGACATCCACAGTGATTTCCAAACCAGACTGTTAAAAAACCCTGAACTCAAAACAGGTAATACCAAAAAATTCACACAATTTGAGATTAAACAATTGGCTTGTGTTTGTTCATTGTTTTCTTTCTTTGTTTGTGTGTGTCCAGATGAGGTTGAAGAAGACTTGCTGAGTTTGATGGCGGTGCTGGATCGTTGGGTCTTCCTCATAGACTCTCCAGATCACAGCTTAGGTGATATGGATGGCTGGATTCAGAGAAGAGAGGGCTGTAAGAGGTTGGCAGTGAGCCCTCAGTATCTTCTGTTAAATTC